GCTCTTTTGTTGTGCTATCCTGGGTCCTGCGTTGTAATCTCCTGGGTCGTTTGTGTTTTGATCTCTTTTCCATTAGCCTCCTGTGTAGTAACGGTTTGGGTAATGGGTTGTGTGATGACCTTGTGAGATTTATTGTTGTGGTATCCTTGGTCTTGTGCTGTGATATCCTGGGTCATTTGCTGTGTTTTAACTTCTTGAGTTCTTGTGGTGTAATTTCCTGAGTTTTCTGATGTGATGTCCTGAGCGGGTGGCTGTGATGTAGCATTCTGGGTTTTAGTCTGGCTTCAAGTTTGGGGCCTGGGTCTGTGTTCTTGGTGTGTGTCAGCTTGTTTGGTTTTGGGGTCAGGGGATGCGACAGCTGGCGAAGCAGCCATGGTCTGTTTTCTGGATGGTGGTTGTCCTTCATTTATAGGATGGGCTTGGGCCTGGGTCTGATGAGGGGGATGGCGGTGGTGTCCTGTGTTGTTTTGGGTCTGGTGTTGGTTTTCGTGGCTGGGACCCATTTGTTGGTGAGGGCTAGCTTCCAGATGTCTGGTAGGCGAGAGGTATCGTCCCGTCTGTTCATGTTATGGGGGTGTTTCTCTATCTCGATGGCTTCCCTGATTATTCTCTTGCTGGAGTGTTCAGTGTTGGATATTAATTTGGTTCCTTCGAAATTAATTTCATGTCCTGTGGCTTTAAGGTGCTGGAAGAGGGAGGAAGTATTTTCTTCTTTTCTGACTGCGTTTTTGTGTTCTGCGATGCGTACATTTATTCTCCTGTTGGTTTGTCCAATGTATGTGGCTGGGCAATTGTTGCATGGTATTTCATAAACTCCTTGGTTTTCTAGCTGGATCTTGTCTTTGGAGTTTCTTAGGATGTTGGCTATTTTTTGGTCAGTGCCGAAGGCTGTCCTGATATTGTGTTTGTGGAGAATTTTGCTGATTTTGTCTGTGGTGCCTTTGATGTAGGGGAGGAGTGCAATACCATTGTCTTGTTCTGTGTCTTGGTTTTTTGGGGGGTATCTCTTCGGATTAGGTTGGTAATTGTGTTTCTTTGGAATCCGTTGGAAATTAATACGTTAGTGAGGGTGTGTAGTTCTGTTCTCAGGTGGTCTTTGTCAGCTAGGCATTTGATTCTGGAGATGAGGGTCTTGGCTACGGAGTTGATCTGTGCAGGGTGGTGATGGGATTGTGCATTTAGGTAGCAGTTGGTGTGGTTCTTTTTTCCGGTAGATGGTGTGTCCTAGGGAGCCATTGGGTTTTTTGTAAATTAGGACATCCAGGAAAGGAAGTTGGTTGTTGGTTTCTGTTTCCATGGTGAATTGTATTTTGGGGTGTAGGTTGTTAAGATGTGTGAGGAAGTTGTCTAGTTTTTCTTGCCCGTGTGGCCAAATTACGAAAGTGTCATCTACATATCTGAACCAGAGTTTGGGTTTGTGTTCGGATTTGTCTAGAGCGTTGGTTTCAAAGTGTTCCATGTATAGGTTAGCGATGACGGGTGAGGGGGTGTTCCCATAGGTGGTCCTTCTATCTGTTTGTATCTTTGTCCATTGTGGATGAAGTATGTGTTGGTTAGGCAGTGGTTGGTCAGATCTAGGATATGTTTGGGGGGGTTGTATTTGTTTTGGATGGCTGTCAAGGCTTCTTTGATGGGTACTTGGGTGAAGAGGGATATGACATCGAAGCTCACGAGTAGGTCGCTGGGTTGTAGGTTTTGTTTCTTTATTGTTTCTTTGAAGTGGAAGGAGTTTTGTATACCAACATCAACTCCATCAACCAATAAAGAGGCAGCAGCACAGCCAACCAGCCCAGCACATCAGCCCCTCCCCCACCAGTATTTATAGAGAGACGATAGCTCCGATCACATACTGCTTGCACTGTCACAAAGCAGAAAGCACCAGCCTGAGGATGGCGAGTGGGACCTCGCTGAAACGTTGCCAAGATACTCTTAATCTTACACGGGAAAAGACCTGAACACACCTAGACCTACTGTCAGCCTTCAATATTTTCTCCCTTTCCTTTGCATCTTTTGGCTGTCATAAGTAACGGGGGAAGGAGGGGGGAATGGTTATGGGAAGTGAGCTGGAGGTGTTACAAACCAGAACTGTATAAACTGGGGGGGGGGGGGGGTACATTCTTGCTTAGGTTTCTATCCTATGCTATGCCCAGCTGCAACCCTTTATCAAACTATGTCAAGGTCAACGGACAGAAGCCTCATAACCACCTGGAGATGCCCACATGATGATATACACAACTTTTAATTGGATGAGCCAATTGAACTATTGGGGGTGGGAACGTTGCCATTACTTTGTATATGTGATTTACGCGCCCATTTTCTCAGATTCAGAATTCTTTTGTTGCTACCACTTGATTTCCAGTAAAAGATATCTTTTCTCTGATTAAAGGAGTCTAAGTATTTCTTTCTTGGATTTTGAATGGAGCACCAGCTGACATTATTCTGAATCTCCACATTATCAGCCCACCCAGAGAATTAATAAATTTTCTTCCGAGGGGGTCTGAACACAATGTCAAATCCAGCCAGCAACCAAGAAGACCTAGGAGAAACTGGAGGACAAGATTCTCTGCTGCTAGAGGAAGCAGGGGAAGCCAACTTGTTAGCAGAACTAAATTTTGGGGAAAAACCAGCTGTAAAACCCAAATGGTCCCTGGGAGTCGGTTGGAAGGATCCTGAGGAAAAGCCTCCTCCAGGAGTGACCACTACCCATCGGCGTGGAAGAGAGGAGCCATGGCAGGAGAAGGAAAGAAAGAATTTTTTACTAACTCAAGCCATGCATCTTCTAAATGAAGCTATTGGAGAACCTCAAACTGATCAAAGGTATGAGGGAAAGGAGGGGGAGGCAGCCCCAGCCAGAAGAATCAGAGCAGCCAGCCCCATAAATCAACCTGGGCTAGCGCAACAGGCAGCAGCAGCCCAGGGGCCCCTAGCAGGAGGGGTAATTGTCAGAACACGTAGAACTCCAAAGGTGCCTCCGTTGGAAGTAAAATATGGGGGGGATCCCAAGGAGTTAGGATTCTTCCTGGCACAAGTCTGGAGCCATATGGAGGAATATGGAGGGGATTTTTCCTCAGAAGCAGCCAAAGTTAGATGTGTTACCAGGGCTCTGGAGGGAACAGCTGCAGAGTGGATGGTGACTGCATAATGATAATGCCCCTCAGCTGATGAATTATGACCTGTTCATGACTGCGCTGCAGGCCAGGTTTGAAGACCCACTTGCTGAACGTAAGGCCAGAATTAGGATGAAGACCATAAATCAGGGGCGGAGATCAGTGGATGATTACACCCAGGAATTTAGAGAGCTGGCGTGTCATATTCGAGGCTGGTCCCAGGGAGCCCTGATAGAAGCTTTTAAAGATGGGTTAAATGAAGATGTATATCAAAGCTGTATTGCCAGAAGAGACCCCAGTGAGCTGCAGCTGTGGTATGTGCTGGCAGCAGAGGTGGAAATTGATCTGACCCGAAACAGACGCAGGGGGGTTTTGGTTGGAGCAAGTCCTCCCTCCTGATTATGATCAGGTAAAAATTGTCACCCCCAAAATCTTCTCCAATTGGACCTTCAGCTCCTTCTGAGGAGGCTAAATCTTTTGATTCTCCAAGGCCATTGTACACCCCCATAAGGCAAATATTAAAGGAACAATTAGAAAAAGGGGGAGATTCAAGCAAGAAACCCAGGACAGAGACACATACATTTATTTGTTTAAAATTTGTATGTTTAATCTTTTTAAATTATTTAATGCTAAAGAAAATAGAACAATGGGTGTAACTAGAATGCGGGCAACTGCTCTCTTCTGATGCACTGGTTGGTAGAGATGGATGTGGAAGGCATGCCCCATTGATTTCAATGGTCCACAGTTAGTTCTGCTGTTCAGAAGCATGGAACGAGACACAGATCCGTGTTTAAAATAGAGCCCCTCCATAAAGTACATTGGGGCTGATCAAAGAAGATATGGTTAATTTATGCTGTTATGTGTGGTAGAAAGAACTAAGAGAATAAGAAAATGTTTACTATTCTTTTCAGGATGTGATTTTCATTAAAACTTTTTAGATGTGTATGTATAATAATGTATAATAATTGCATGCAGAGTAGAACTTAGTTGTGTATGTATAATACTGTAAAATAATTGTATGCAGAATTGAATAGGATTGAATTGAAGAAAAATATCTTTTACCTGTGTATAGCCCCAACTGGAACTGCTGTATCTCAAAATGAATTAATTGTAACATGTTTGTCAGCCAGAGAATTAAATTGGCTTTTTGGATTGGGCTTAGAGTTGTGGGAGGCAGATAGGCAGTAGTTTGGGCCCACAATCGCCTTTGTGATTGGAACAGCTCCTTGAGTTCTCCCAGTGCTCTGAGAACAAGTATAGGTTGTCCAAAAAAAAGAAAATGTGGAGATTTAAAGGGAAAAAACCTCCTCAGGTCTGGAAATGTGTGTGAGAATGTGTCTGTAAGTATGTGAGCAGTATGATTACAGTGTAAATGTGTGAGTATGTTGATGGTAAAAAAGTTGGTGTAAATGTTTGTGTGTTGACCCCCATCCCAGATTGAGAGTAAGAAATAGTGTGCGCAAGGAAATGAGAAAGGTCCGGACATTATAAAAATCCCAAGGAGAAATGTGATTTACTGGAAAGAGAGAATTATTTGTGTGTGCTATTATTTGTGTGTGCTTTGCTGATGTTGCAAGTTATTTGTGTGTGAAGAGATTTATTTTGTTGAAAGAATGAAGTTGAGTGGAAAAAATGGGTGAGATTTCTGTGTAGTATTTTAAAAATTCCCCCCTTCGCTGGTTGTTAACTTTTTGCTTTGAAAAAGTGGAGGCAGGAAGAAGGGGGGGGGGGGGGGGGAGTGAGGTTCTTGCTTACTTTAAAAAAATTTTTTCTCTGCTTTGAGTTTTTGTCTTGAAAAAGGCAAGGTTGGAAAATAACTTTTTTATAGGTTACATAGCTTCATCTCCTGATTTTTTAGCTTTTTCAAACAAAAGGAGCCTCAGATAGCTAGGCTGAGATTGGCAAATTGCCTGGAACGTTATCTGTAAAGGTGGCTCAGTTCCCAGGTGGGCAATTTGCCCAGATCTGATTAAAGCAGAGAATTGACACTAAAATTTGACTCCATCTGGACGGTTTACAACAAGAATGTGAAGAATGCATAGCTATTACCAGCCCAACAGGTAAAATCACAAAAGGTATACAATGGACTTTGCAAACAACTTTTTCTTCTAATTTTTGATAAGTACAATAAAGTGTAAATGGTGGAGTTGTGTAAATCTGATTTTCAATTTTATTTTCAGAATAACTTATCTCTTCAATGTCCTTTGCCTGACTATGTAAGCTGTGTTGTTTGCCTAAAGATCCTTGGCTTGCTCACTTAATGACTTCTTCCTTTCCTGTCCTTACAAGGATCCCTCATGATGATACCTGGAAAGTGTTCTGCTATTTTAACTTTCCAAACTTTTTCTCAACAGCCTTTTAATTTAATTTCTGACTTTCATTATGTGTGTCAACTTATTTTTAATCTTCCAGGTGCTTATATCACTCCCAGGATTGATCCTAATCTCATGGCCTTGTCTTTAACTTTACAGCAACTGTTACTGTATCAAAAACAGTTCTACTATGTGTCTCACATATGTAGTCACTTTGTTGATTTTTTTTCAGTCACTCTTTTTTCCATCAAAACGCTAGAGGCCTGGCACAAGCTTGCCATATTCCAGTTAATCAAGCCAAGCAGATTGTTTCATCAGCAACTTTGGCAAATGGATGTTACCCACTAGGCAAGTTTTTTTACAACATGATATTTAGCTTTTTTGCAATTTTGTACAACCTGGAATAACAAGTTCATCGGTCATTTAAGGCCTGTCTCCACAAATAAATAAAAAAGGAGGGAAAGGGTCTCTAAAAAAGTTTAAAAAGTATTATTTACCTTAAATCAATTGAATGCAATTGAATGTTTCCATTTACCTTAAATTAATTGAATGTTTTTATTCAAAATTTAACTATTTGGGGGTGAGGGGGCAGGGCTGTGCTGCTGTGTTTGCTCCTACAGGACCTTTGTGGAGTCCAGCTTTTTGTGTCCGCCCAGCCAAGGATGTCTACACCAGTCCCCAGATCTGGTCCCAGAAATGTGATTCTACAGATGGCACAGTGTCCAATCCGGGTTCATTTGTTTATGCTTGGCTAACATCACACAGAATGATGTCTTTTGCTTATCTGAAACCTATGATATGGAACATTTGCTTTCTACATGTTTAGTTCCTATCTGCACTACTTCTACAGTAATTCAAAACTTCACTGGCTTAAGTGGATTTTTATTACATGGGAACTTTAACTGTAAGACTGTGCTTTACACACCCCAATGGTAGCAGTCTCTGTAAATATAACTTGTGCAAAAGTAGTTAATTGTACATCTTCAAGTAAAAAACCTCACTGTCATCGCATTAGCTCATCTACTTTGAACTGCACAGCTTTTGGAGACTTTCTTTCATTTTTCCCATGTTTGGCTGCTGCAAGGATGGTTTTTTACATGTGGTCAAGAAACTTTTAATTATATTCCTGTTAGTATTAGTGAAGCGCAATGCTGCCTCAGCTGGCTGATTCCTGTTTTACTTTCTAAACAAATTCATCACTTGAATAGTTCTCAACGTGTGGTCACGCTAGATAGCACCTGTGACTCTGAAACACCCTTAATAAAGCAGAATATGTAGTGCTAGCTTTGTCTACAGTGGGCGTGCCAGCAATTGCTGCTTGCGCACACCTTAACATTAACTCTGTTGCATGTAATTTAGCAAAAACAATTATGTAATTTAGCAAAAACAATTAATGTTACTTCTTCAGCTATCTCAACAATCAACCACGAGATGCAAGCATTGAGGAAGGCTATTCTACAAAATCTATGTTGTTTTGTTTGATGGGTTACGAACCATCCAGCACCAGCTTAATATTTTCAACAATTTGGCCTTGGATTTGAAAATTGATAAATTAGGATCTTGGTGGGAAAGCTTTTGGGCTTGGTTACCCACAGGCTTAATGGGAAAAATTTACACCATGTAGTCATTATTTGTGCTTTAATTAGTGGGTGCTGCTTTGTTCAATGTCTCCCTTCTCTTTGCAACATATGTATCACAGGTTTTCACCCTAAAATCTCTCCTACATTGCCTCAGGGTCAAGTATATGCCCTGTATGAATAACTGCAAGTGTGATCTACTGATTATTATAAGTCCCTTACTAACCTCTCTTATGATTAGGCCTTGTCTAAACAAAATAAAAAAGAGTGAAATGTAGTAGCTACTGACATCCTATGGATGGCGCTAGATGCTAGCAGCAAACTGCAGGGTTTAAAACCTATATGGGCCCTCTTGGCTACTTGCATGATCTCATTCCCTATATCTTGGTGAAGGTGGAAAGTCCCGGACTTTCCAAACATATGTGATCTCATTTACTAACATCACCACTAGTCTTAAGGATTGGTTGGGAGGTTGTACCAATGTGGTTGAGAAGTTTCACCCATGTGGGATCTATTCTCCAATCCAAATACTGTATCTATGCTACTCTTCCTTGCTTGTAAAAATGGTATAAAAGAATAAACGCTGCCCAGGCAGTCAGACATCTTGGCACCTTGCACAATGACTGATCTTTGAAATCCATCAGTTTGCAGTAGCCTTTTAACCGGGGATTCGTAAGAATCATTAAAAGGTTTCTGTTCCCTTTGGTTCATGTTTGTTTTATTGGAAAAGGGTTTGGGTCAGAACAGCCATACCTGGTGACAGCAGAATCGACGAGAAACAACTTGAAAAAATCACCAAATATCAGGACTTGAAAATCGAACTGCAGAGACTCTGGCATAAACCAGTGCAGGTGGCTCCAGTGGTACTCGGCACACTGGGTGCTGTGCCTAAAGTCCTAGGCAAGCACTTAAAAACAATTGGCACTGACAAAATTACCATTGGTCAGCAGCAGAAGGCCATCTTACTGGGATCTGCTCACATAATCCACCAATACATCACGCAGTCCTAAATGCTTGAGAAGTGTTCGACTAGTGATTTGTGATATGAAACCCAGCATAGTTATCTTGTTTGCTGTGTACACTGTTGTTTTTTGTCAATAATTATATACTTTATTGTCATTGTACATACACAGCATACACATACGAAATTCACATAACACCCAGAGACCAGACCCAACACGCACACACACGACAATCCCCGAACACCCACCCACCCAAGTTCCCCGCCCCCTAAAAACACACAAGCATCCACACAAAAGATCAAGTAATACTGTCCAACAGCTTGCTGATCGTGGTCCTTAAGTTCATTGTTAAGTGCAATTATAGCTCTGGGATAAAAACTGTTCAGAAAACATGTGGTCCGAGTTTTAATTGTTCTGTATCTTCTGCCAGAAGGCAACAGTTCACAAAGATTGTAAGCAGGATGGGAAGAGTCTCTGAGAATGTTGTGCAACTTCCTCAAACAGTGAGATGTGAAGATGTCATCCAGGGCTGGTAGCTGGAGCCCAATGATATTCTGGGCAGTTTTAATTATTCTCTGTAGAGCTTTTTTGTCCGCTACAGAGCTGCTCCCATACCATGCAAGAATGCCGTATATTAGGACACTCAGTGGTACTGCGGTAATAGGACAGAAGTAGATGCTGAGATAGATTTATCTTCCTGAGCATTCTCAGGAAGTACAGCCTCTTCTGTGCCTTCTTCACAAGCATGTTAGCATTCATAGTCCATGAGAGGTCCTCTGAGGTATAAGTGTCCAGAAATTTAAAACTATCAACCCTCTCCACCTCCTTGCCATTTATATACAATGGTAAATGTACATCTCTCTTCCTCCTGAACTCAATTATAAGTTTTTTAGTTTTTTTGGTGTTAAGTGTAAGATTATTTTATTTACACCAGTGTCAGCCCTTGTACTTCCTTTCTATAAGCAGACTCATTGTTCTTATTAATGAGCCCCACCACTGTCGTGTCATCCACAAATTTGATAATTGTGTTGGTGTTATACAATGGGGTGCAGTCATGTGTGTACAAAGAATAAAGGGGCCTAGCACACAACCCTGGGGGCCTATCTGTCAGAAAATACTTTATCCACAAACAAATCTTCTGATTTATACCCAAATTGGACATTTTAAGAAACAACCTGTTGGGTAGAACGGTGTTAAAGGCAGAACTGTAATCCACAAATAACAGCCTTGTCTATGTTCCCTGTTGCTCCAAATGATTCAATACAGTATGAACAACAATAGACATAGCATCATCAGTTGATCTGTTACTCCTATATGCAAATTGGCATGGGTCCAAAATAGATGGAAGACTAGCCTTAATGTAGTTCAACACCAGTCTCTCAAAACATTTCATGACATCAGATGTTAAAGCTACTGGTCTATAATCATTGAGAGATACCACTACTGTCTGCTTTGGGACTGGCACTATAATGGATGTCTTTAGGCAGGTAGGGATAGAGCACTGTGACAGGGATAGACTGAAATTATCTGTGGACACTCCAGCTAACTCTGCAGCACAGTCCCTAACAATTCACCCCATGATTCCATCTGGCCCAGCTGCCTTCCAGGTGTTAATATTCTGGAAAGTGCGTCTCACATCAGAAATCTGCAGTAGAAGTGGTTGTCTATCGATGGTAGATGTTAGTGGTGTACTATCAGTGGTAGATGCTGGAATGATGGTCATTCCTGTTTCCACCTCAAAGCGGCTGAAGAATTGATTTAGCTGCTCAGCCAAAGAATCACTACTGATAGACAAACTATTTTTGTTGCTCTGCCCTGTAATTTGTTGCAGACCTTGCCATACCCAACGAGAGCCCAACCTCTCAAAATGATGTTCAATCCTCCGTCTGTACGTAGCTTTAGTGTCCCTGATGCCCTTTTTCAATTTAGCTCTTGCCTCGCTGTACTGTAGCGCATCACCAGAATGGAAAGCAGCATTTCTAGTTCTTAATAAAAGACACACTTCTCTATTTATCCAGGGCTTGTTGTTAGAAAACACCTGTACTTGTCTGGTGGTAGTGACAACATCAATGCAGCTTTTGATATAAAACAGTACTGTTGAGGTGTAAGTATCAATATTGTCCTCCTCAAACAGTGCCCATTCAGTGCTCCTAAAGCAATCTTGAAGTTGCTCAGATGCACCCACTGGCCACACTTGTATTTCTCTAATTGATGGTCTGATTCTGTTGACAAGAGGTCTGTATGATGGAATCAAGAACAGAGATACATGATCTGACTGTCCCAGATGGGGTAAAGGCATAGTCCTGTATCCATGCATGATGTTACTATATACCTGATCCAAGGTGCTTTTCCCTCTAGTGGGACAGTCTACGTACTGATAGAACATAGGAAGGACAGTCTTTAAATTGGTTTGATTAAAATCGACTTAGATGAGGGAATAGAAGAACTTAACAAATTTGCAGATGATACTAAGCTGGCAGGAATAGCCAACATCCCAGAAGACAAGCTCCAAAAAGATCTTGACAGACTTGAACAATGAGCTCTATCCAACAACATGAAATGTAATATGGAGAAAAGCAAGGTTTTACACCTAGGCTGGAAAAACCAAAGGTACAAGTACAGATTAGGCAAAACCTGGCTCAAAAACAGTACCTGTGAGAGGGATCTTGGAGTCCTAGTGGACAATCACTTAAACATGAGCCAGCAGTGTGCAGCAGCCACCAAAAAAGCTAATATAATCCTTGGTTGTATAAATAGAATCAAAATCATGTGAAATATTAGTACTGCTTTATAAATCCTCAGTAAGACCACACCTGGAATACTGCATCCAGTTTTGGTCACCACATTACAAAAAAGATGTGACTTTGGAAAAAGTGCAAAGAAAAGCAACTAAGACGATTAAGAGCCTGGAGACAAAACCATGAAAAACAGTTGCAGGAATTGGGTATGGCTAGTCTAGAGAAAAGAAAGACTGTGGGTAGCATGATAGCAGTATTCCAATATTTGAGGGGCTACCACAAAGGGGGGGGGGGGATTAACTTATTTTTCAAAGAACCAGAGGGCAGGACAAGAAACAATGGATGGAAGCTAATCAAGGAGGAGCAACTTGGAATTGGGCGTTGGTGCTTACCTGATACGCCCTTTCTCGATGAGCTGCGTAGAGCATCCAGAGTGGGAGGTGCTCCAGTCTCTGCACTCACAGGCTGAGCTTTAATTGAGGAACGCTCCTCCCCGTCCATGTGACTCCCTCGTAGCGTTCCCCAGTTTTACGAAGACGAGAAGACAAACAACTATCATCTCATCCTAACTATTGTAATAAACATTCACTCCTTGACTCATTGATTCATTGGCCGAAACAGGATTCCCCACCAGACGGTTAAAATAGGGTGGGGCTGGATGCTCTACGCAGCTCGTCGAGAAAGGGCGTATCAGGTAAGCACCAACGCCCATTCTCCATCGAGCTGCTTCGAGCATCCAGAGTGGGACATACCAAAGCATGGCCTGTCCTACGGGAGGGACTCCGTCTGGGTCGGAATCTCCTCTGGATCTCGGACAACTTGTTGTAGGACTCGTCTGCCAAAGGACGCATCTGCTGAGGCAAAAACATCGATCCTGTAATGGCGAATGAAGGGTGACAGGGATGACCAGGTGGCCGCTCGACAGATGTCGTTTATCAATGCCTGAGTAGCCAAGCTGCTGAGGTAGCCGCACTCCTTGTGGAATGTGCGGTTATTCCGCTGGGAACAGGAAGTGCTTGTGCTACGTAGGCCTTGGAGATTGTTGCTCTGATCCAACGGCCTATAGTTGACGGGGATACTTTGAAACCCAACGTCTTCGGTTGAAATGAAAGGAATAATGACTCCGACCTCCTGAAAGGTTGAGTGCGGTTGATATAAATACGTAGCGCACGCCTGACGTCGAGGGTGTGCCACTGTCTTTCCCTCTCTCGAGAGGGTCTGGGGCAAAAGTTAGGAAGAATGAGTTCCTGCGATCTGTGAAAGGCTGAGTTAACCTTGGGCAGGAAGGAAGGGTCTGGTCGTAGGACCACCCGATCAGCGTGAAAAACGCAGAGATCCTTTCTAACGGACAGAGCTGCGATTTCAGATATCCGACGTGCAGATGTGACTGCCACAAGAAACACTACCTTGAACGTTAGGAATTGAAGTGATGTCTCCCTTAGGGGTTCGAAGGGAGGTTTAGTAAGTGACATGAGGACCTTATTAAGATCACAGGTTGGGTATCGGTGTACCGCTGGAGGATGTAAATTGGTGGCTCCTCTAAGGCAGTGATCCCCAACCTTTCTTATGCCGCGGCCCGGTATCCCCAACCTTTTTTATGGCGTGGCCCGGTACCGGCATTAGCCGAAATGGCTTTCTACCCGGAAAAGCTCACCGGAAGCGCTAGCGCCGCCATCTTTTTTTGATGAAAAAGTGCTTCCGGTGAGCTTTCTACCCGGAAAAGCACTTTTTCATCAAAAAAAGATGGCGGCGCCCAGCAAAGCAGCGGCCCGGT